CACGGAGATTTCTTAATTACGAGCAAGACCCTCTAAGACAAGAGAACGAGGATAGGAAGAGATAGGAAGAGAAAATATACCGAAAGACGAAAGTAAGGGAGAGAAAGAGAAGAAAATTCTGCCGATGGTTGTAGGGAAAAGGGTTCTCACGGCAACGAGATTTAAGAATCCTTCCTAAGGAAAAAGAATCGCCCCCATCGCGAAGACAGATGATAAAGCATTTCTTTAGCGATACTTTGTCATTTTTATCATAATTATTTACGAGATAATTACTCCGCAACCGCACCCTGTGCCGGCTATACTTTCTTGCGTTTTAAAACGAGAAAAATGTCTTTATTAAGACACTTCGGAGATAATACCTTTCACAAAGTCCCGTAACAAATCTGCTCTCTTTATTCTATTCTATTTATAATAGTTCTATTCTTCTATTGCATACAGCAAGAGATAAAAGCAAAGTATTTAAAACAAGAGAAAGATAGGAACATATTAAAAAATAAATGTATTTATTATTAATCCTCTTTATGGACGGGCGATTCCGTTTGAAATTATATCCTTTTTTATTTTGTAAACTATTTGTTCAATGAAAGCCATGGGATAATTTGATAAATTCAGATCAAATTTATTCAAATTCAAAAATAAAAAATTTGAAATATGGCAGACACATTTTTTAAAACAATCTATATTAAACTCGGTTTTAAAGAATTTTTTATTGCGAAGTGTCATCAAGTTTCAATTTGAAGCTTATCAGTGCTATATGCAAAATAGTTAGAATTGATTTCCAAACTAATTTTAAATTCTAAACACTGAGAGAAAGAATTTTGTTAATTTAACAAGTCATCAGTACTTTTAATCGATAAATATGTGACAACAAATTTTGTTGTGATTGCTGCTAGTCTGCTATATCAACCAATTATTAGTAACAGAAACAAACTATATAGAATCTAACCTATCTTTTGGATAAACTTTAGAAAATCTTTTGAATAACTCGTTTACATAGAATTCGTAGATAATCATGGAATCTTAAGTCGTAGGAAACCGATCAAGCACAGCCTAATATAGGGAAAATACTTGATTAGAAGTGGTCAATTTCTTATGATTTAAGAAACCTTTACCTTGCAACCGTCTACGATTTTTATATATATATATATATATATATGAGCCTCTTATTTGCTAGCGATACTATTGACTATTGATTTGTTACATTGACGAATTAATTTGCAGTCGTAACAAATCAATCAGTTTTTTTAACAAATATTATATTTGCTTTCCCTTGATTTGTTCCTATAACAAAATTATTTCGCTCAGTGAATATATATCCTGTGACATTAGATCCTCTTTCATTGTTAAATTCATAATATCAAATACGAGTTACTTTTAATTATTTCTATAGATCATTATACTGTTCCTCAATATGTCGTTAATTTAATATATCTAAATAGAAATAATTTATACGCAATCCGAATGTTAAACTATCTACATCGTAAATGAAACTGCGAATTCTCTTTAAGATTGCGGACTCAATTTGAAATTTAATTTGATAGAATTTCATTACTAGTCCATATTTGAAGAATTTAAGAATATTAACACACATCTTATATATTTCACAAGATTTTTTTCGATTTATTCTCTAACTGCAATATTTAGTTTATATTTCTATGGCAATGATATATAAGGCAGCTCATTTTTTTTTAATTATTGACTTAAAAGTAAAGAATCGAACATTTAATTTGTTTTTTATTATTATGTAATAAAGACATTATACATGTACACTCGAACAACTAATGTTGATTCCGATAGATATTTATATTTAGTTAAATTATTTTTGTTACAACAAGATTATATATATTTTTTTCTTATAGATATATTTATTTTTATTCTTTTTCTTTAAAACATTATGGAGTTAAACAATTTAACTTAACTAAGAAAATGTATTAAATTTGACTCAAAGAAATTTATTATTTAACAATAATTTAACAAACTTATTGTTACCTTTTCAAATTCAGCAATACCAAGAATCTCCCAAAACCGAAAAAAATTAGATTATTTATTAAAAATTTGAATTAAAAAAATCTCAAGCCAGAATCAAATTCTACGATTCCGAAAATCTTTAAAAAACACAAAGTATTCTTTAAATTTTTTTGCCAAAGAGTTCCCGTTCTTAAAAAGTTAATAGATTGCAATCTGTACTTATATTATTGCATTCTTAAAAATAAAATGTCATAAGATCAACAATGTTTCATTCATCGAGTCGCAACAAAGCGTTCCGCGGCGCGAGATAATTGCCGAAAATGGAGGCGCCTTAATTCGGCGCCATGCGAAAGTTAGTATGATCAACTTATGGGCCGAAATCGTAGCGGGGAAGGAGGATTCCATCACGAGGGGTTGAGCCGCACGGTCTGCCGAATTTTAAGCCTGTATAATTTAACACCTTTACTGCAGAAACTAAGAGAAACTGAAGGGAAAGATGGAGAGAAGAAGGGGCAGGGGGACACGCGTATTCGCGAGAAACGACGAGATGGCAACGAAGATCGAAAGACGAAGAAGTAGGATCGACAGAATAAGATGACGGTGGAATGATGAGAGAGAGACGAGGCGAACGGAATGCAAAGTTTCAAGTTTTCAACAGCACTTACCTATCCTAGTACACTCTCTGCCTCTCCCACGGGTGCTTTGTACCACCAGTGTGCAGATATAGCCATAGATATCGGATAGAGACGAAGATGGATAAAAAATCGGTCGCGAGAAAGAGGGACCCAAGTTAAGTCGTGCCATCTCTTCTCTTTGCCCGGATACCAAGATACAAATTCATTTCTCCGGCCTTTTGTTTTTGAAGTAGAGACTTAGATGGCATGTTATAGAGAGGAGGAAGAGAGAAGAGAGAGAGAGAGAGAGAGAGAGAGAGAGAGAAAAACATGAATTCGTTAGCATTGTCAACCACTTAAGGGCGGAAAACCCGCCCGCTGGATTTTACGTGCCGCGTCGTGAATAATTGTTAAAATCGAATAACGAGGCTGCCAGAGTCGATTGATTGACCGAATTTATTTCTGGACTTTGTAAGGTGTTCTCTAATCGGATTATATTCTTCAGAATTACAAATTCATCTTATGCATTCTGATATGCATTTAAGTGCTTGATAAATGAGTTTCGAGAATAAATTGAACCTAATTCTTAACCGAGATGTGCTTCTTGCTCGGTTAAATGCAACTCGAAGAAAATTAGTAGAATCTATAAAATTTATCCAATTTGGATTAAATGTGTATGTTATATAATCGTTATATCAAAAATATCAAAATCAATTTCGGTAAACGATACGATGCATGTTTTATTTATAATCACGTGTCAAGCTCAGTGACGTGATTAAATTAACGAGTTACATTTCTAATAATTAATGCTCCCTAATAATTAATTCTCAAAAGAGTGAATATATGAAACTTATTATATATTCCAGTATTAATTTTTGTTTTAATCTTTCATTTTGCGCTCAAATAAATCCATGATGGCTTTTCGGATAAAAAAACTGTCTCGTTCCAGATATTTTAAAGTATTATTGTAATCACATATTTTCCGATGAAGATTATCCGTCAAGCTAAATTGAAAGTCTATAACGTTTTTCAAACAATAGTCGCGGCAATGTTTGCAGTAATATTGTTTAACAATAATCATGGTTAATTAAATCTTCTTTCTCAATCTATGTTACAGCTAGAGTTATAATCTAGACAAGGACACGAGTCACTAACCGGAATTTGTTAACTAAGGCGGTCCGTGCGATTCACCTTCAGTGATACGGTATCACACGCATTGATATAAGTCACACAGATTATAACTCAGGGTTGATCGGCAAAATCCAGTGGGTGGAAAAAAACCATGATAAATTCCGGATTTCACCGTTCTGGACTTTATTTAATAGAATAAATTGGCAAAAATTATAAAAATTAATATGTAATATTAAAATATATACGTATACTTTATGTAAAAAGATATTTTTGCTTTAATTAGTAAATCATATATTACTATTAATTATAATAGTTTAAAGAACGGAATAAGCCATAAGCAAAAAAAAAACAAAAAAAGTAACTTTATAACTGTTGTAAAACTCTTTAATATAATTGGTTTATTATACATTTATATCTAACGAAGAACTAAGGGAAAAGCTAATCATATTAAAAAATTTTTACAACAGTTGCAAAGCTATTTTTTTGCTGAATGCAGCCAATAATAAAATATCTTATAATAAAGTCTTTTTAATTCAAATTAATATATTTTTAAAACAAAATCTTTGGAAATAATATAAATGTTATAAAATTTAATGATTTTTAGTTTCATGAGAAGAACATAAAAAAACAAAATTAAGAATTATTAAACCAATACAGATCTAGTTCGCGTTTACTATTCAATATCTTATAAAAACTAATTTATTTGTTACGTCAATTCCAAATTTATTTATTTTATTTATGATAAAGCTCTCTTAAATTGAAAACACTCTCGATTAATGATGAACTAGAATAATAACAGAATACTAAATTAGAATATTGATAACAATATAATATAATAAATATAATAATAATAAATTTTTCTATTTATTTTATTGTTTTTAATAAAAGAGACCAATTTTTGCCGATTTTTTCCAAAAAATAAAATGATTTTTACTACTAATATGGACTTAACAAATATGGAATTTTGCCAACCCTGTTACAACTAATTGACAAGAAAACTTTAAACAAAAGAAAGCGTGTACGTAATATATAGAAACTATTTCAAATACATATATACAAATCGCTAGAGAAATACAAATGTATTTATAAATGTGCTGCTTCGATCCGCTGTTCGCGATGACTTTATTCCACGGCACTCTTTACAAAGGACGTGATGCCCCCGGTTACACATAAATTTTCCGCTAAGTCGAGATCGTCGATCGAGCCAAATTGAAAGAGAAAAACCGACCACCGAACACTCGTACTGCAACGGCCCGTAATTCTCACGCGTCTTCTTTTATCTTGCAGAATGTAGCGGGTGGAGCTCAGCGACAGGCGAACGGGGAAGCGGCGGCCCATAACCACAACGGATATCCAGCACCAACCAGCTCGAGCGCCCATAACGTCCTGAACCCCATGAATAATTTAAACGGTATCAATGCGCAAGCATCGTACGATGCCAAATGACAAACGAAGTAAGCGCCGATATATCGATTGAGTCGCCCGAGGGGAGGTCGACTCGTGTACCGTTCTCATTGTCTTCATGGTTTACCGTGCTGATCGTCCGAACTATCGTCCTAACTTTAGCACGCGACCCACGACAGATTACGTATAATCGAATATCCCTTAACTGTCGAGAAGAAAATGATACTGTTAAGTTATCGCGAACAAGAAAAATGTTACCGCGTATAGATATGTATGATATAATCGCATTAAATGATTCGCTTCATGTCGCGATCGGAGATCGATTGGGCGAACTTTGTGTAAATAGAAGGCAACTATAAAAAATATGACAGAGTGTTGCAGATACACACAACGCAAGTAAGCGTAGGAGAATTTAAATATCTGATAAAATATAAAATGATTAACAAATATCGCCGCATTAATAAAAAAAGTGATACATCTCAAAATTAGCAGCTTTTCAGAACATTAATTAAGATAGCTAATATGTATATATATAATTTTACTTTCTTTCCATGTTATACTTTCAATTACATTAAAACTAATGAGTTTTTAAAATTTGAACACTGCCCCCCCGCCCTACTGACAATAAGTACAAAAACAGTTACATTTACTATAAATTATAGTTAACTTATAATTGCAATTTTACATAATAATAATTATGATTTATAATCATTTCGATACTACGTACTTTCTAAATTTTTTAGAATGGAATCTCACTTTAAAGAGTCTAAAGAAGGAAAATTTAACCTATCTTTGAAAAAAGTGGTTTAATTTTCAATCTTCAAGAGTGAGATTCATTTTAAAAATTATTAGAGAGTAAATATATATTTCTTGATAGAAATATACATAGTTATTATTATTAACATTATAACAAGTATAATAATTATATATATGGTAATAATTATAGTTACAAATATCAAAAATTCTTCTCTTATAATCAGTGTAACATAAGATTGTATCATCTTTCATCAAAATTGTGAATTTTTTCATATGAAAGAATGTGTCGATAAATGTGTAATTTTTCCAAAATTTAATTTTGTGTTTAAGATTTCTCTTTATTTAAGTTTGTCTTTAAGATTGATTTCTTTTCATTATTTCAAAAATTTAATAATTTTTTTACTTGTGTCACTTTTCTATCAATGCGGCGAAATATCGTGATGTTCCATCTTTGAAATTTCCCAATAAATGACCCAACTGTTATTCCTCCTACGCTATCTTAGACGTCGTTTGGTGAATTCGTATTTCCTGGACGAATTATTATGCCGTCTTCTCGAATAGATTCTCTCCAATATAAGATAGAACGTGAGGGAAGAATATATAAATCCAAAATGCGTCTTTCGTTCTTGTATTTCATTAGATTCATGTATCTGACGAATTCGTCTTCCCTGCGCTCGACTGGTTAGACGATAAATAAATAAGTAGATAGTTAAACAGATAAGTAGGTAGATAGATAGCTAACGGAACGTATATCGGCCAATTATGGCGAACTATTGGTGCTGTTTAGATTGTAATTAATCGAATTTGCATGATTCAATTTAGACTACTAAAGCGTATCGCTAAAAGAAAAAATAAGTTCGAAAAAAAATGAAACTTGTATGGAAAAGCTAGAAGTATGAGCTAGAAAAGCATCGCGATCCTTCCCGGATTTATCTGCTTTCAATCTTACGGCAAACGCATCGACTTCCGGTGCAAGATATCTTCAACAGCTGACGTGTCATGAACCGAAGCCCGAAACTTCGGAATAGTAAATAAAGTTCGGTGTCGCGTATTTAACGTTCGCCTCGCCGAGAGGGGAAGAAATACACCAGGATAACCCTCAGAGGGCCCTGGTCCAGCTGGATGGGCATCGAGAACGAGATCGAATCGACGGACTTCAAGAAAGCGACGCAGTATTGCAGCCAGCAGTGGTAACCGCCTCGCCAGCTCGCCACCCCATGGGGCTCATACGTTAGGGGTGACTTAAGCATTGTTTCAACTTCGAATCTCCCGGCAGAGGGCCAGATTGATGTCGCGAACTTTTCCGCTGCCTTATTTGCGAGTCAGATAACGAGACTGAGTTATGCCCAAAGTTCTCTCTTGATCTCTCTTGCTCCGATCAGGCTCGTGCTGATCGTATCGGATCACGAAGAATAGTCGTAGTCGAGAAGGATGTTTTATTTCCTTCTTTGAAGATTCATCGTCGATGCCAAAAATACCTATGTCGAACGATAATAAGCTAGCAGCTGCGCCGAGAAATTGCTAAGAATCAATTCTTAAGAAATGCTTATATCTTCGTGGTTTTCATTCTGGCCGTAAATAAGATAAGAACTTTGTTGCTTGCAATTGGCAAAAGAAGGCAATAATTATTGTTAATTATTGACGGCAGAGGTTTAAGAAATAAATATTGCAACCGTAGCTCCGCAAAACTAACCAGAGTTGATTATGAGTTTGTTGTTAATAAATTATGTTAACAAATTATTTTAATTATATTACTTTCTTATGTTAACACAATTTTATGAGAATGTATATAAATAGTTTGCTATCCGCAATATTTTTATACCGCTTATTTGTTACAACATAACTAAAAAATTATCATTCTTTTAGTTGCTTGCAAAAAAAAGAATAGAAATGTAAAAACAAAAGAAAGATCATACTTTAAAAGAATATAGTTTTATTATTTTACCATCAATTATTATGCCAAATTTGCATTTCAAAATTAATATTACGAAAGTTTAATGATTTAAAATATTAAGATTTATTTTCTTTTGAGTTACATCGTTGTTATAACAAATAATTGATAAGTGATATTTTCTACATAATTCCGCTTCGAAATACATTAAAAGATATATATATATATATATATATATATATATATATAAATATTAAATGTGACCGGAACTTTTGAATTATTATAAATAATATTATATGTATTATATATATAATAACGAGTGCCAATTTGTCAGTGATTTCCTTCGCAAATAAAAGCACCATACGAGTACGCGTTTATTTCAATCTGCCAAAATTGATTTAGTAATCATCTCAAATTGTTAAGACGACAAGAGAGAACTATTACCGACTTGCAATTTATATTTTGATACTATAATTACGAATCTCCATTCACTGAGCATTGAAATCGTTCGACTGATTGTGAGCCAGCGATTCCTTCCGACATTTAAACGTACTTCAATGACTGTAATAAATAATTCTCTCGCAAAATACGTGGCGATTCCAAAATAATATCAGCATAGTTCCTAAACGCAAAGGATCCTCGACGAAACGATTACGATCGCTAAAGGCACATTTGTACCGCACTTGCAACTATCAAATGAACAAGGTACAGACAATGCGAGCATTGGAGCCCTTTTGTACATTGTATCCTACAGTATCGCTTTCTAAATTTCCCGCGTAAATTATGAGCCATTATGCATCTCAGTACTGATCACGCTTTGATCACGATGTACGAAAGAACTCAAAATCATTAATTAAGGAAGTGTATAACGTTCGCTAGTATGTAGATACGTTTTGTATTTATAGTTCTATCATAGAGGTATTAATAAATTTGTTTCGATGTTATGCAAAGCACTGCAGTTGTGATTTTGAATTATGGATCGTTACCAGACAGTGTTATTAAAATTTTGTAAAAAATTTCTTAAAAATTCGTAAATTATTTTTTAAATTATTTTCATTCGAAGTTCCAGGTAAGATTAAAGAATTTTTTAATGCAATGTTGAAATAAATTAAAACGTAAGGAGAACTATATCTCGTAAATTAGTTCTCGTTAATTCTCGTTAATTAGAAGACGGGGACATTGTATTGTTTTTTTACAATTGGAGCTGCGGAAACTATAATACAGAGAAGATTCAATCTATAATATAGTATCAATGGACAATGAGCTATTTTTCTGCTACTGACTTTCTCTCTTACTCTGATTTTTTTTAAATAATAAAAACCTCGCAAAACTCACACATTAGAATGTATACGGATGTACGTACTATACTTAATGCTAATCCGTCACATTTAAAGTTATTATTATTATATTATTATTATATTATTATTATTATTATATTTACTTATTATTATATTGTATCTTTACTTAGAAAAATGACACAACTAAAAAAATGTAATTTTTTTTCAATTATTAGTATGGATGAGTTAGATTATTCTATTAATCAGCAAAAATAAACTAATTTAACTTCAGAATCCGTTCGCAAAATAACACTTGTATCTTAATTTTCAAAGAAATATCTTCTACAAGAGTAATATATTTCAAGTTGTGTCGCTTTTGTAAATAAAAAAGAATTTTTTACAGAAAACATTTAGAATTAGGATAATTTGAGTGAAGTTTAAAAAAAGAATTATTTTATTTGGAATTCAATCATTTTAATTGATCAAAATAAATATAAACTATTGGTGATATTTCGAGATACTTCACTTTTGATGCATTATTTTGGATTTGTTGTAATTAGGATATCAAAACTGTTAAAACTCAAAAAATAGTTTTTTAAAGGTTTAATTGTTTAGTAATTTTTTGTGAAACTAAAATGACAAAAATGACATTTAATCATATTTCCAAGAAGATATTCTTTTTGCCAGTATTATTTGATTAGTCAATAATTTTCTGTTAAGTTGAAAAGTAGTTTTTTTCTGAAAAATTTAAGTTTTTGAGTTGTTATTTTTAAATTAAAGAAGAAGGATATATTTTTAATATTATTTAAAAAAATGGAGAAATAATGTTTTTATGAGAAATATAATTTAAATTAAAAGTAAAATTCCAAAAATTTTCCTGAGAATCGATAATATTTTATTAAAATATTGATTTGTCAAAAATAAAAAAAGAAATTCTCTGAAAAATCCTGATTTTCCCAGATAGTAAATACTCTGTGACTAAACCAAAACCGACTCACCCCATTTATCGTTTTTTCTTCAGTTTTCTTAAAGGTTTATGCTCTTGTTTCCATCGTGAACACGTGATATTGATTCGACGATGTTGCGACGCGGGAATCAACACGCGGAATGACTTTCGCCGTCTCAACA